ACGTTCTTTAACTATTCACAATTTTTTTTACATACTAATTGACAAATAAGATGATAAAAAAATAGTTATGAATAAATAAGTAAATGAAACAAAATAATTATTTAATAATTAGATCCCAATTTTTCTCTTCACACGGGTGCTCACAATTGTTCAATATCACGAAATTTTTATGTTGATTCCTTGAGACAAAAAAAATTCAACGGGCCCACACCAGAATATTTATACATATACTAGCTTTTTGATATCTGGATGGCATCTGACCTTTAGGTTGAGTGTTATCCAAGGAATTTCTATCTCAAATCTTAGTCACGAATTTTATAAGCTAAATCGTTTCACTCAATGTTCCCAGTTCCCACCCATGTAATGTCAAATCTAGAAAACCCTTTATTCAGAAAGCGACTCATCAGTTGATCATGAACCTTTATTCCTGTTGATCTGTTAGCTAAGCTTATTTGTAATAATAATAAGAAGAAGAATAAGTTTACTAAGCAAATGGTGATACCTTCACCTGTAATATACGTCATCAATTTTGTTAAAAATAGTTGGGCTTGGGCATGAATCATGCAACAAATGGAAAACATCTGTGCTGTCATTTTTTTTTTAATGTATTTTTGGGTGCAAGAAGATAGGGTGCTAAACGAATCACAGGTCTTTGGCTCGGCTTGTGAAGACTTGAGTTTACATGTCTAAAATCAGTGGCGGAGCCGGGCTCCAGGCTAAAAAATTCTATGTGTATTTTTTTTGTTTTAATATTAATTAGTTCATACATAATATATTTAAATTATATTAAATATAGAGCACCTGAGCAGCAGCACTAAGAAGAGTTATAATTTTATTAAATATTTTTTAATTTTACTAAATATATATATATATATATTTGTTATACAAGTGAAAATCGAACACGTAACCTAATACAACTTACCCAAATCTTTTACCAAAAATATTTTAAGTTTTAGATAGGGCCAAATTATAAATTGTAGCCCGGATCAAATTTCAATTTTAACCCGAGCTAAATTATAATTAATTACATAATTATATATAATAAGTACAATTTGTTAAAACTTAGCCCGGGCGAAGCCACACCCAGACTATACGTGGCTCGGCCACTGTCTAAAATTGGTTGTTGGCACCAGGCTTGAACTTGTATAAAAGCTCGTTTAATAAAAAGGCCTCAAGCTCCAATTCAAAAGCTCGATCTTAGAGCCTCTCGGGCTGGCCTGATATATTTTTTTTATTTTTTATACTACCTGTAATAGCCCCCTCTTTCTCCTCAATATATTTTACCCCATTTTATTAGTTGAATAGACTTTTTTAATTATTTTGTTCTATATTATGCTATTCGGATATATATTGAATTTATGAATATTTATGGAATTACTAGTGTTGTTGATTGTATATTCTGTTTGGATAAATTTTTGTTATCTTATTTTTTTTAAACAAACTAAATCAGACTTTTATTTTTTGTAAATAAGTCAGGCCACAGACCGATAATTATATTATAACAGGTAACAGGTTTGGTTAGGCTAACATATTTAAACACAATCTTAAATTTTTAAGACCAAAACTTAACACCGTTATAGGAAGGAAACAAATAGTGTCTCAAATGATTTTAATATTTTATATATTATCAGTGACTAATAAATATCTGACAATTTACTTTGGATTCTACTAGCCAAGAAGAAAAATAAGTACCAAAGCAATTCCTTGCCTGCCTTTGCATGAAAGCGATTTCAAATTGCAATTATGAAATATTGTGCCGATTGCGGATGAATTGAGACCAAATCCGCTTATGATTCCTGTGCTGTTCACACTCAGTAAGGTCATTCCAGCGTGGATCAATATATTGTTGACATCGCCACAATATATTGATCATGAAATGGTATCTGCGCAAATATAGATTCATGAATTTAGTTAAATAATGAAGAAGAAAAAAAGGCATATGCATGCTTGTGACTCGAATAAATCTTATTTACAGCAGGTAGGACTAAGTTTATAAAAAGTGAGCCAAACCTACCCCTAAGGTATATATGGAAACAGATCACAAAATTAAGCTTTTGTTAAATGTGGCCAAATTTTATTGGAGAACTACTCTAGTTAAATTAGTGATAAATTGGTAAATCTTTAGTAGAGGACAATGTCCCCATAATTCCACAAACAATTCATAATTGGAAAATCTGATTTAGCCCCGAAATATATATAATGGCTTGGATAGATATCGAGCACACACAAGATATGGACTCCAACTCTACATGTGCCAAGAATGAATCGGGACATAGTGGTGCCAGACAAAATTGCAAAACCCTTAATAAACTACATGTACTAGATGATAATGCTATTCATATTTTGGAGGTAAGAGGAAATCCATATTGCTACAAAGGGAGGAAATCCATATTGCTACAAAGGGAGTAAATCTTCGGTGCAATGGATGTAGGTACATCCTTACCAAAAAGGAAAAAAAATAGGGATATGGAAAAAAATAATTATAAAAATAAAGATAGTATAAATTTGTTACTTTTTTTCCATATTTGATAAAGAATGTACAGAATGGTCGGTACATCCGTAGTACCGAAAATATTTTCCTACAAAGAAAGGCCTCTCATGAAAACAGGCAACGAACTTTGAGGGACAGTTCAGAAATTGAGCAAAGACTACACGAGGCTTCTCAATGTCAACATTATCTTCAATGATATTTGATGAGCATACTGCAAAATCAGTAGCCCATTTCTACTTATGTTAGGTTTCATTACCCTTTCTGGTTCCACATGATGAGGACGACCTAGTAACTGATAAATAAATTAGCAAGCAACTACATGATGTGCCCTCGAGCACAGATAAGACACTAAAGTTGTACCCGGGTATGGTCTATTGTACGGAGAGACACCATTAATTTTGAAGATTGTGTTCTCAGACATTATCAATTGGCTAGAGAAGAAATCCCGCACTGTAAATAAAACAAAAGGGGAGGGAGGAAACAACAAAACGAGGAATTAGAAAAAGGGTACACATGATTGCTTATTATTTGTTTCTTATTAGAGATTTGTACCAAAGGATTTGTCTTCCAAAAGGCCAAATAAGTTTTGTGATGGGTAATATATTGGAATATATGTGCATTTGAAGCCCGAGTGGAATTCATGCTTGTCCAATTAGAACTCAAGCAAACTTCTGTTTTGCAAATTATAGCCTCATTGCTACAGATGGTTGATCGGACATAAGTGGTCTACATGTATTGCTCGAGTTTAACATACACATATCCTCAAATTGCACAAGCAGATAGACATGCACTTTGAACATTCAATCCTATATACAAACCTCATATTAATGCCCAAATGAGAATAACTCCATCAATTCAAGATACAAGTAAACTACTTTAGCTAACCTTAAAATAAATTATGAGGGAGTAGAAATTAGAAAGTTGTTTTTCGAAGCATAAAGAGCTTTAAAGTAAGGTTTTGGATTCTATTCTAAATTCATTTCTAACAGTCAACAATACCACTACTTGAGCAAAGGGTAATTGCATAATAACATCATAACACAGATATCACCACAACCCACATAACCAAAATGTAGTGTTTTTCCACAAACATCTCTTTCATGCATCCAAGTTGATGATATAAGAAAAACAATTACTGCAGTTTTCAGCTTTTCATAGGGAAGGGTCAGATTCATTTTATGATCTGTAGTAAATAACCTTACCTTACATGGATTTCAAGTTATGCGTAGCCGTGAAAACTGCAACGACATAGCACGCTTAGGAAACATGACCCTAATTGTGTGCTCTGCGAGAAAGGAGATAGGGTTTTCAATTGAGCGCCAAAACCCAATCTCAATTGCAAAATCAATTTTTTAAGTGCCAAACACAGATTTCAATTTTTTTCGCTTTCGCGTTTTGGTTGGTTGGGTCCCAGAAATTTATGAGCAGCCCATATATTATGGCACCATTTGTAATAATATAACTAAATAAAAAAATTTACAAAAGCTACAAAGATATATAGAAGATAAAAAAAAATTCGGAAAATTATATTTACTCTTAAGAAATTCAAGATTTTCAAGATTGATTATTTTTTGATTTCTTCATTATTAGTAATGTTTTTGAGGATTTATGTATACTTTTTTTTTTTTTTTCATTCTCTCTTTAGATGTTCCACAAATATTGTAGGCATGAATTGATATTTTTGGTATAACTTGTGTTGTTCTTAAACTAGGAGACTGAAATTTGTTCTTCAAACTTAATATATGTGATTTAATTTAACTATCCTAATCTTATCTTTATATGTCAGTACTCTGTAACTAAATTGTTTAAATATGATATTTGAAAATTGCTCTAGCCTTTGAAGTTCTTTGCTGTGCTCAAACAGAAACAAACTGCACCAAAGGTGAAATCTCATTTTCACTGGTTTGGTTGGGAACTAGGATAATCATCTCCTGTAGTACGATGTATATCCATAACTCTTGAGAAAAAATGCATGGCCCCACTTCTATGGTTTTATGGGATTAACAATTGCTCTGGAAAAATCTTAGTGCTATGCTTGGATACCGTTTAGTTTTTGTGCTAGTCTATATTGGAAATTAAATACACCCTTCTGCTGCTATTGGTATCTTTGCCATACTAGTACTATACATGTGACTATCGCCAGCTCCAAAAATCAATTTGATTTATTTAGCTTTACACTATTATCCAATTGTTTATCACATCATTAACGAGTGTGATTTTAATCATATAGTTCTGTTGAACCAAACGCCCATACTAACTAGAGAGGAGTTGTTTAAACCAAAACACATCCTAATATACGAACTTCAACCACTCCATAAAAGTCTTTTTTTTTCTTTTCCCAGACCAAAGGTCCTATCTGCTCCACTTGAAGATTAATTATACACCCCCTCAATCCATGTGTGTGTGTATATAACACAACCGGAATTCTGCTTCATCAACAACAAAATCTTTCTCTCAAATCATAGTAAAATTCATCCTCACTGAAAGTACAGATTCTTGTGTGTGCAAAATGGCCAGTGTTTTCCTACATAATCCTAACACATTCAAGGCCACCCTCTGCCTCTTCTTCCTAACCACAACCTTTTTGATTGCCAACTCTGCCAGAATCTTAGATGAAGTGGAAACCCAACCCCAACCTATAGTCAATCCTTCAGTCACAACAGGTCCAGTCAACACTATACCACAGATTGGCCCTGCCACCACTTTGCCAAGTGGCCAAACACCAGCAGCCACCACAGACTCCGGTGTTGAAGATGCCAATGCAGACCCACCAGCTCCAGAAACTGAAGCCCCAGTTGAGGACAAGCCCCCAGTGCCAAGTCCTACCACTGAGGAAACTCCACAACTCCCACAACCACCAGTAGTGACACCAGTAGTGACACAAGTCCTACCAGAAGCTGAAGTTCCAACTGTCCCTAATGTAACACCAGTAGTGACACCAAATCCTGTGGCAAAAGAGCCATCATTTTCTTTCTTCATGCATGATATTCTTGGAGGGTCACATCCATCAGCAAGAGTGGTGGCAGGAATAGTAGCAAACACTGATGTCACTGGCTTACCTTTCTCCAAGGTCAACAACAACCTCTTCCCAATCACTGGAGGAATCCCACTAGTTAACCCCAAGCTCAATGGCATCATCACCAACAACAACCTCCCAAACCTTGTAGGTCTCAGTGGTGCTCAATCCTCCACCGTGTTTAAAAACAGTGGAACCAGCAACACTGTTACTGGTAACAACAACCAGCCATTTGTTTCAGCAGGTAACCTCCCTGCTGGTTTTACACTCCAGAAGCTCATGTTTGGGTCGGTGACAGTGATTGATGACCAGTTAACAGAAGGGCATGAGCTTGATTCAACTGTGATTGGAAGAGCACAAGGGTTCTACATGGCAAGCTCATTGGATGGTAGCAGCCAGACCATTGTGCTGACAGTTATGGTGCATGGTGGTGAGCATCAAGATGGGTTGGAGGACACTATAAGTCTGTTTGGGGTTCATAGGACAGCGTCACCAGAATCAGAGATAGCAGTGATTGGTGGGACTGGGAAGTATGAGAATGCTAGAGGATATGCTGCACTTGAGACCCTTCTGAAGGAAGATCAGCACACCACGGATGGGGTGGACACCATCCTGAATTTCAATGTCTACCTCACTTAGTAGTAACTACCTGTGATTGATTGGCTTTCATATTTGGAGTTTGAAATTGTGTGTATGGTGGTTAAATTTGGCACTTTCTCAATTAATGCTTGATCAAGTTTGAAACAGCATAGTTCAATCTGCTTCTTTTTTTAGTCATTATTAGCTAATGCCCATTTTTAGTTTTTTCATTCTGCTTCTTTTTTCTCATTCCCACGATGAGAACATCCTTGGCAAAACGACCGTACTAGTGCAATTCATTGAAAGAATTGCCCACTTAATGCCTATTGGAAAATATTCTCCAAACTAATGTAGTCAAACGCACAATCATACCATACATGGACCAGTCCCACATCTGACTGGTACGAGATTCACTATCGCGTTAAGAGTCCCGGACGTACTTTATGCATCACTTCTGTCATGTCATCCAGTCCCGCACATCCTTTATATGAGATTCAATGCCATGTCAACAGGCGCATGACTACTAGGATCATGCCATGTCATCCTTTACAGTGCGGGACTAATCAGACACTGACACAATACGTGAACAGTGTTGCAAGACCCTATTCTTGCATGTAACAGGCGCATGACTCCTAGGATCATGCCATGTGGCCAAATCATAGCCGTTCATCCTACCTAATTGGTTCCCCAAACCTCTATATATACCCCTACCTATCCGAAAATCATCAACAACATACTATTTCTCACCTCCAATTCTCAAATTCTCACCTTCCACTCTCAAATTCTCACATCCAACTCTCGTGTTCATTCTCAAATTCTCACCTTCCACTGCCATTCTCACATTCTACTCTTCATATTCATCTATCATATTTTTTGTCACTCTAATTTTCTTGTCTGAGTGTTTACAAGCACCCTCTCTACCTTTTCATCTTATTTATACACTTATTTTGAGTCTTAATATTTTCAATCATCATAGTCATCTACCCTTTTACTTTTAGTTTTATTTGTACAATTAGATTACTGCAATGGATCAATTTCATTCATTTATACATTACAATGGTTCTAAATTTGTAGGTCCAGGTGGTTTGACATTTGAAGGAGAAAAAAGAGCAATGTATATTGTCTGAGGCATGTCTATTGAAGATATGAAGGAGAAGATCCGTCGATAGTTGAAGCTCCAACAAAATCAAATAATATGTAATGTGACAGGGAGAGTCCCCAGTGGAAATCGAAAATATGTGGGCTTTGAGATATTTGATGATGAAGGTGTGGATGTTTTACTTAGAACATTTGTCGATCATTCTAAGTCTCAATTTGTTGAGTTATACGTGGATATTGATACAGCTAAGAATCTATCAATACCGATTTGTGAATTGGATCTTAACAGTTAAACACATTATTTATCCACTTCTACACCCCAGCCTACACAAACAACATTGCTCATGGAGAAAAGAGCGACTATATGATAGATAGAGAACCTGACAATGAGGAGGAAGAGCAAGATGAAGACACCCAATTAGCTATTGACCGTGATGAGAATGGTAGCGATGCAACTGATGAACATCAGGTTGATCCAATTTCACACGAGGCAGGTACCATTATGCCCAATCCCACAGTTGTTCCCCAATCATCAGGTTAGCTTATGAGTTGTATTATTAGATTTTTATTTTTATATTAGTTATTGTAAAGAACCTTGGGATAAACCACCCTAAAAGCTAGCTCAAAGAGTGAGAGTGCCCAAGACCTTATAAACTCCACATTAGTTGCACATACAACCAATGTGGGACTATATATCTCAACACGCCCCTCACACGAGAGCCCATTGGACTTGAAGAGTGGATGATGCAACAGGCCTAGCCTACCTGTGCTAAGAAATTCCACAAGAGAAAGTGGGGGGGTGAGGCTCTGATACCATGTAAAGAACTTTGGGATAAACCACCCCAAAAGCTAGCTCAAAGGGTGGGAGTGCCCAAGACCTTATAAACTCCACATTAGTTGCACATACAACCAATGTGGGACTATATATCTCAACAGTTATCATATTTTCGCATGTTAAACACATTTGTGTAAATGTACAGAGATTACCCCATTTTGGAATGCAATCCCACAATATGAGGCTGTGAATTGGTATTACCCGCATGAAGATGTATTGAATGTTGAAGGCTTAGGTAGAGGTCCGTGGACGAGAGGAGATGAACTGTATGTGAAACAAGAGTTTGAGTCCAAACACGATGTCCAGGCTGAGATAAAACATTATTGTATGAAGGCTCATTAGGAAGTTGTAGTGGGTGAGAGTACTACAGCTAAGCAGTCAATGAAATGTCAAAAATATGAACAAGGTTGCAACTGGAGAGTAAAAGCAATTAATCCAAAGAATAGTAATAATTGGGTGGTTAGTAAATGGGCTGGAGATCATAGTTGTATGAGCCAATTCCTTTCCCAAGACCATAGATAACTTGATTCTAAATTTATTTCCCATGCCATATTAGGTATGACGTCCAATTATAGCTGGTTTAAAACATAAAATATATAAATTTATTGTACTTACATCATCTCGACCCATATGATCAAGCTCTATCAGATACTCCTTCAGATGACATCAACAGAAATATGCTGGCAGATTATTGAACCTACAGTATTTAACTCAAACACAAAGCATGATTAGCAAATCAAAACCCAAAGCCTAAAATCAAGTTGAAATTATTAGCAAATTATTCAATTTCCATACCACCGTCTGTAGTGATCACCTATCTGACTGAGTAGTGGAATGCCAGGTGATATAACAAGAAATTTGGTCCATGCCTAGATCTATAACAACAACGTACATCCACCCATGTCGTGTGCTGCATATGACATGGCCTGACATAACTCGTGAAATAGTGTCGCAAGTACCCCCCCTAATTGTACGGAGGAGTATCCTCAAACTCCCCACCCAGTAATTGTATGTATCGACAAGACACCACTTAGTTACACTTGTCGCAAAGCAAAAAACCATCAAATAAGCACATTAGATATGCATGTGTAAATAATCAGACCCGTGAGTAGTCGAGTGCTCGTCGTAATGGCCCCAATGGCAGTCTAACCAGCTCATCTTCAGGTTATTGCCCTCAATATTTGCTGGGAGTGGAGTCACTCCTATGAAATGGTGTATTATATTACGCCAATTGTCGTGCATCAACCCAGAGAATACTCATTCGTCAATGGGCAAACCCATAATAGCCGCTACATCTTGTAGCGTGATAGTGCACTCTCCAACAGGCATATGAAAGGTGTGAGTCTCCAGCCTCCACCTCTCTACCAATGCACTAATAAGTGATCCATGTGAAGCTCGCCTTACCTTCAAAATCCTGGAATGTCCATTGTTCCAAATAGCCTGCGAGATCTGCGTTTGCTGCACATCAGGATCAAGTACGTCCCACTCTTTGGTACTAGGCTCAATGCGGTCGCGCTCACCAGCCATTTAACTAATAAAAATTTATAAAAAGTCATATTACTGTTTTTTTAATATCAACATTTATTATTTAAGGGGAAAAGAATCTAATATTACTTTAGACAATTTTGTCTAATGTTCACCAAAATGACATCATTTTGGGTTAAAAATTACAAAAATAGATTGATAAAGACTATTATAACCCTGAAATAAATTAAAATTACAAATACATCATGATTTTCGCCCCAAAACGACGTCGTTTCGGTGAATATTAGACAAAGTTGTCTAAAGTAACTTTAGAAAAAACAAACTTATTATTTAATCACCAAATTATAATTTTAATTTATTATATTTAAAAATAAAAATTAACAATAATAGATGATTATCCCAAAAATTGTAAAAAGCCTTCCTACAGTCATTTTACATTAATTAAATATAACTTTAGACTGGCTACTATCCTAATGTTTGAAACATTCATACAATACCTAAATATCTTATATACAATCCTAAACAAAGGCTAAATAACATATTAAGAATATTAAAATAATTCAGTAAATTACAATCTTAAAAACTATAACGTAAAATGGGTTTCTATCCTAAGGTTTCATAAATGACATATACAAATTATGTTACAAAATAAATAACCAAGAATGGATACTTACATTTACATTTATTGGTGAAAAATCCAAATTATAGAGAGAGCATTAATGATTTAGAGAAAAGGCAGAGAAAAAAATTCTAGACAGAGAATGAGAGATTTAGAGAGAAGAAGGAGAGAAGAAATGAAAGAGGGAATGAGAAGGGGGAGGAGGTCTCACTGGATTTAGGAAAAAGGAGCCGCATCAATTGCATGCAGGATTAGTCCCATACTGGTCATAGAGATTTTTAAAATTATATATGATAATTAAAATTAAAGAAAATAATAACATATATTATAAAGCAGGGTGATATAAATAACTCCTTTGTTAAACCCCGATTAGGGGGTGCAGAGGTAAGAGCAATTCTCACAACCTTACCCTTGCATATTTACAAAAATGTTATTTCCCAGATAAAGAATTTAATCAGGAACACTTTACCATAGTTACTCAAATTATTATTCTTAATAAGGGTTTAAAATTAAGGAAAAATATGTTAGAGATATATAAATCACTAATGTAGTCTCATCTAATAGCTTGAGCTTTTGGGTTGAATTGGTCCTTTACATGGCATTAGAGTTTCGGTATCATGGGTTTAATCCTCACCGCTCCTCATTTAATTAATAATTAATTAAGTCTTATGAAGGTAGGTGAGTCTGTGTATTGTCCACCCTTCAAGTCTAGTGGGCTCTTGTGTGAAGGAGTGTGTTAGAGATATATAAAATCATTAATGTAGCCTCACCCAACAGCATAATCTTTTGGGTTGAATTAGTTCTTTACATAGTAAGAGAGCCTCGGTATCAAGGGTTCAATCCTCACCGCTTCTCATTTAATTAATAATTAATTAAGTCTTGTAGAGTTTCTTAGCATAGGTAGGTGGGTCTGTGCATTGTGCACCCTTCAAGCCCAATGGGCTCTTGTGTGAAAGGGCATGTTAGAGATATATAAAATCATTAATGTAGTCTTACCCAACAGCATAATCTTTTAGGTTAAATTAATTCTTTACATAGTAACAGAGCCTCGATATTACGGGTTCGATTCTCACCGCCCCCCATTTAATTAATAATTAATCAAATCTTGCGGACTTTCTAACATATGTAGAAGGGCCTGTGCATTATCCACCCTTGAAGCATAATGACCTCTTGTGTAAGTGGATGTATTAGAGATATATAAAACCATTAATATAGTCTCACTCAACACTTTAAGTTTTCAGTTGAATTGGTTCTTTACATGATATCAGAGTCTCGATGTCATATGTTCGATCATCACTGCCCCTATTTAATTAATAATGAATCAAGTCTTGTCAAATTTCTCATGTTACATGAGATAATTTTGTCTCATACCAACCAAAAAAATGGATCAAATCCATTTTTTTCTTTCTCTCTCTTCTTCTTAGTGTGTGAGCCCATTTTCTAGTGTGTTGCATGAGACAAAATTATCTCATATAACAAAAAAATATATATTCCCCTAAAACTAATTAAGAATGGCAAAGAAAAAAAGATCATTCACATCAAAATAAACTAAAATATAAAACATTAATGTCTTAATAAAATAAAATTTAAATCTCAAAATAAAGGAAAGTATGTTATAATTAAAACATATCTCACGGGAAAATAAAGTATAATTTACCCTTGAAATTAAATATAATCGATCAATCCCAAAAAAATTAAAATAATAATAAATAAAACATAAGCATACTTTGATATTCAGTTCCATTTTTGTATGATTCAATTATGTATTGAGTTCAGCATGAAAATTATGGACTTGTTTAGGGTATACACAGTATTGATACTTACTGACAATTCATGCGCTTGCTAGTTATATATGCACCTTTGTCATTCCTAAGTCCCGGAGGCAATTTGACACAATCAGCAATTACTTTCCTTCGCATTCTCAATTTCTTTTCATTTTTATGAAAGGTTTGATGTAATTACAACTGTACGTATCCAATGGCAAGTTACAACATCTCAGCAAGTTGGTTGAAATTAAACAAAGGCCTTAATTTTGGCAATGAATTTAAAATAGAACATCTGTAAAAAGTTTGGTGACATCTTTCCAATTACTATAACCAGAACACCTTGAGCCAACATAAACCGCTCAGTTGGGGTTATGATGAAACAATCAGAAGAATCAGATGAGCTATGTACAGCACTGTCCTTTCAGAGAAATGGCAGAATCCATGACATAAGTTGTTGGACAAATAATCCATCTTCAGAAGGATCTTGCAAGCATACTATTAGCAATAAAAATCTGCAAAACAAAATAAAATTAATAAAAAGGGGAGAGGTGTGACTGGATAACGACTTCCAAAAGAAGTAGCAAACTAGTTCAACCAAAAGAGAGAGTAGCAAACTACTGAATTCGAAAATGAAATGATGCCACGGGCTTTGAATAAACAATAAGTGTTTCTTGCATCTCAACAGACAAGAAATGACAGCAAAACAAAGACTTAAGATGCAGAACCAATTTAATCACCAGATTCACGGACATATGTAACATATGTGACGTACACGCAAAATGGGACATAAACAACCAGAGATAAAGGGATGACCCTCTATGCCAAGGCTTAGGAGAAGAGAGAGGCAAGACAACTTAAGGTTCCAGGGGTCTATTGGCATAATAGAATGACAATCTTTCTTATAACTTTATTCTGCAAGCGACCAAAAATTTCACCAAAAGACTAGCATGTTTTAGCATTTCTTTTGTAATGAATAAAGATAACTTTCATGAAAGGACAGACCAGAGTTTAAGTGGTATAACCCACTTGAAATCCAAGAAAACAATGAAACCTGAAAAATCTATCCAATCAATATTACAATTAAGAACAATGGAAAACAAAGTCCCCCCACCTAGAAATCAAGTATGATGTAAACATACACAAGTGTGTGCAAGTTACTCAAGAACAAGTAATACTAATGAGAGGAGTTATTTTTCCACAGGACCTCCACAGAGTTTAAGTTCGGCATAGATTGGTGTGGTACCTCTACCCCTGTGGCACCAAAATATGTATATTGGAACCATGAATGAAGAAAGGCATGAGATAAAAGTACATTGGCTGTTCAGTGAGGCCCTTCTTGAGGAAAGAGGACCTAATATGGTGCAACAAGTTTATAAATAGAATAACTGTATCTAGCATACAATTTAGAGTCAGAGAAAAATTCCGACTCTTCTAGCATTGCCAACAAATACTCAAATCCACGTCAAATAATACCATGATTTTTTGGGGTCAACGTGTTCACATCAGGTCATCTTTTCTTTTTTAAATAGAAAAGATACAATATTGACGAAAAAGTAGAAAAGTACAGAATAGAGACAACATATCCTCAAAACAGAGATAAGAAAAAAGAAATCCACATCAAAAATCTCCAAAACCGATTGGAAAGCCTCAAAAGAAACCACTACAAAGTAGATACCAAATAGGACACAAAAAAGGTTCTATATAGAGTACCATCAAAAACATGCCACACCAAAAACTTACCCAAAACTAGATTTAGCAAGCTTCCACAAAGTTTGACTATGCACAAAAAGTAAACTACACATCCTAAAGCAATTCCTCCCAGAAGACCCAAAACAAAGGCTATATCTAAATTTTCATGGTGATAAAGAACTTCTCTCGCTGCCTCAATTGCTTAAATTGCAGGCTGCCACAAAGATTTAGCCCCACCCTAGTAATCCATGTGTATAAATGGAAGCTTGAAAGTTTCAATGTTGAACAAAGATGTCAAACAGCAAGAAAGATCACAATCGCTTACCTTATTCTCCTCTCCAATCTATTAATTCACTTCGTGGTGCATATAGGGTAGTGGCTCGCTCTTCTGCCTCAGTATCATTTACTATACCTCGGCATTTTGGGAAGCCACAGTAACATGCAAGCCGTTCATCAATTGAGAAAAATCTGTCACGTGAACTAAAGAAAGTCAGCATAATATTAAATTAGGAAGAATTATAATATGTTTTGAAAGTATCATGCTGCACACAACTAAAACCAATACAAAAATGAGTTTTGTATGGGTCTTTTTGTGATCGTATCTGAACTCATTTAAAGAAGAGGGAAACCTGTAATCATATGTAAGCTCTTCCCATTGTTTGATGTCCCTCTTTGCAAATATTACAATATGCTCATCGCCATTAACGCTAATAACTCTTGAATAGCAATTTGGCTGCATACAAGCAAGACATATATTGGTAACACCAAACATATAGGAAACAATGAAAATAAGGCTGTAGGGGTTCTTCAGCAAATAAATAAGGTGAACTGCAGTATTTCCAAACTAAAGTCAACAGTAAAATATTTGTTTTAACATCACGACAAGTATATACCAGCACTATCCAAAGCAATATACTTTCATTTGACGGGGCACCTATATACAGTTATAGCCTTATAGGTCTTAATCAGACTGTTTCACACAAAATGAATCCATCTTATCAAGGGTTATTAACCGCATGCAGACAACATATTAAAAAAAATTGTGCCAGAAAGTGTTTTGTGTCACAAACAAAAATAAAATAAAAATAAAAACAAAAAATTTCTTCGCTTTAGCTGAATTAGTGTCACAAACAAAAACAGAAAATTGATTTGCTCTTGTTGAATTATATTTTGTTGCCACTGTTGTGCTTGTGCAGTCAATGATGGTGTGTCTCAAACCGTCAATGCAATTTACGAAGAAGAATTAACAATACAACATTTTTTGTAGGGAGAAAAGAGAGTATGCTACTTATAAAAATCTATCAATATGCTAAAACAGGTTGAAGTTTTCTCAAGATCCCTTATTTTAAAGAAACCTTCCAGGCTCCATTCCTCAAATAATTAACTGAAGATTGAAAATTAAAAACACAATCAAGCGAATCTCATACATCAGAAGGCTGATTGAAATGACAATGTTTAACGAGCAGTAAATTGATTAATTGAAAATCTAAAATTAACGAGGAAAGGACGCACTGCACAGGAATGATTAATTAAATGAGCAATGCTTCCGGCTCTAGTAGCATCAATGACTCGTTCATCATCAATCCGAAACATATATGTTCCTGCACCCTGCACAAAGGAAAGAGACAAGTTACTAAATCCTGCATAAGCATGCATACTTAACATTCCAGAAAGTGCATTACTAATACTATTATTAGATTTATTCATCACAGAAGGTGCTATTGTCGTAACATCCTTGTTCACGTTGACAATCAAAGGTTCCACAATCTACTGTTTCTTATAGTTCAACATTTTCATAGCTATCAAATTATAGCATTAAATGTTAACAGCTGATTCAATTGACATCTCACTTTCAAACAAATCAGCTGTCTGAAAACCATGTCACATTTTATACATGCACATCTGATAATTGGAAAACACTTACCACCAACGAATTGTATATAAAGTGCTCTCTCCGGTCGGCTATGGGAGGTCTAACAAGTTCACCAGTGTATTCAATCACCTGAATAAGTAAAATCAATTTGTTCATCCTTGGAAGGTGAAATGCTTTACTACAAAGGAGGCCCATTCAAATGGAAATGTTGTATTTACCATATCTCCGCCTTTATATGGATGCTTTGCGAAGATACCAAATCCATGAATTCTTGATTTCCCTTACAAACAGAAATTTTCAAATATTTTATCATGAGACAAGATGGCTAAATCTCAAATTAGAACCTGCCATGTCATTAACAGCCACAATTCCACAAAAATATATAATTGCCCTTTTCCCCACCACTTTTGAAAATATTAAAAAAAAATTATGCCTACCAAATGCTAGCTGTTTTCGAAAGGTTTCCCTCATGTACTTATATTTTTCAGCAATAGAAAGTATGCTGTTCGAAGCATCAATCAGAGAGGTTCTCAGTCTTTGTTGGCTACAAAAGAATTTTGGGCAAACTCCTCTCCCAGAAGACTCTAGGTTGTTTAACAATCCATGCTGGCAGTATCCACCAACTAAGTAAGGCTGATTCTCTACGAACAAACGTTTCAATGATGCAGCTGCAAGAGCTTCAGGTTCTTTTCGACCTCTCCTGCCAAAGTAATCGTACGGCTCTGTCCAAGAAGAAAAAAGGCAAACCTTATTTTCCAAATTCATCTTTAATTATTTAAACAGAACAATTTATACAAAGCAGTAAGAGGGGCCAGATAGAGAGAACGAGAAGTGCATCTCCATTGGCCAATAAGAGCTAAAAAAAGAGATAAGAACATGCAGCAAAATCTTTCCCACAAAAGATGCATCCTGAAAAGCAAAAATCATCAATAGGAAAAGGTGACCCTTCTTACTTACCCACCACCCAATCGACCTTCCATCCCCCAAGCAATATACAATAGTGGTCCACACCCCTTCCCCAAAGCTTCTACTTAACTGAGCACAGAGACACACATCCTTTTATATTATGCATGTATCTTCATGGCCCCAGGTTGAGTCTAAGAATTACTTATACAAAAAGCATCTTTAACCGAATGATATAATTCACACCTCAATCAACTCAAAACACAGCATAACAAGCTGGAAAACTAAGATTTTGAGCAAGAGATAGAACGGGCATTTTTGGTACCACTTCAAAATAACCCCTTCTATGAACTGAGAAATATTATTGATTTAGAGGTTTCATATATTAATTGGACAGATATAGCCAGATACAATTTTGATAAATGGGTAGCTTGGCATTGGTTTTTAAAAGAAGTTTTTCCCCAATCAAAGGACAGGAAGAGGGTTGAGAATTTAGGAAAAGGGTTGAGAATTTAATAAAATTGTTGACCCTGACCCAAACCAAATTGTTTACTAAATTTGTGGCAAGCATTTTTACCCATCAACTCAGCTAATCTGCCACCCTGCTTCTAGCACACTACTATTTTGCCTACCCAGATGGCACCAAAAGCACTCTTTCTTTAATACACAGGTGATTGTTAACCCAATTTTTAAAGCAAAAGAAAACCAATTTGAACCAATGTGATTTGAGTGTCAAGCATTTTTACCCATCAGCTCAGCTACTCCTCCATCCTGCTTCTAGCACAATACTATACTATCCAGATGGCACTAAAAACACTAATACACAGGTGATTGTTAACCTGATTTTTATAGCAAAAGAAAACTAATTTCAAGCAATGTGATTTGAGCGTTCTCATCATTAATTTGGTACGGATCAAAGTATATGACTTGCAAATAACCTAAAATGATTTTAAATAGGGATTAACTTAAACTGAGCCAAAGGACATACACACCAAAATATTGAAATAAAAAAAAAAAATTATATAAATAGCAAAGTAACAAGTGAGTGAAGTGACAGATAGTGTAACAGCAAACCAATCAAAAGTCATAAATTTCCGTTTTTTCGGTTGCAGGAGGTTAACAAGTAAAAGTTATGAAAGTGACAATTTGCCTTAGTAAAACAACTGTCAAATATCATACCACTTCGAGCACAACCCGACGGATTGGGTGGTGGTTCATAGTCTGAACATTGACCGGCAACTCGAACAATACGTTCATCAGCAACAGCATGTTCATTAGATGGCTGCCTATGTTTCTTGCAGAAAGAGAGTAAGCGAATGCACTGATCTTCATCATCATCAACAGAAAGTAGATAAAGCCTGTCCTCATTCTCAAGCTACAAAATTATAAAAAATATATGGACAATGAAATCAATTTTTTAGCTAATTTTTGTATCAAAGCCAACACCACATTCTTTAAGGTCAAAACAAAATAACTTATAAAACATGTATTGGAAAAAAGAAAAAGGGAGAAATACCTCAACACAGAGACCGGCAGCACGTGCACAAAGTGGATGATAAGCTACCCGACAAGAACTGTTTGAACACTATGCAGAATTGACATTTGGGAAAAAAAATCACAATTAAAATTCAGAAAACAATTAAAAATTGCTTCATAAACAAAGACTAGCTAGGCCCCATGCATTAATTGTCATAAGGTGGTTGTTTGCTGTGGTTTAGTTAGCAGAGATTTGGTATCCCAGCTGTAAGGAATTACCTTACTATTGACCAAGAAAAAGCCTACTTAAGCTACTCTTTTATTAAAACTCAAGACTTACTTGGATGCAGGCACCATAAGATACACCACATATGCTACATAACAACTTCCAGCGGTCCTGTTCAGATACAAAATTCACAGGATTAAAAGGAAAGCAAATAGAAAAACAATTGGTATATTTGCAGATTTAGAACTCATAACATAATCATTGACACAGACAAGAAGTAGTTTGGTTAAAATTAAAAAAGAAAAAGATAATGAAAATGTTCATAGCACGAAAACTTAAAAAAACCAAAAAAAGAAGGAAATGAAAAGAATAATTAGTCATAAAGGCCTACCTTACTGATTCTACTCAAACCATCAATCGGCTCCATTCTTTTGACATCAGCTAAGCAAGTCTCTGTCAAAAATACTAACCCTTAGCAAACATAATCAAAACTTAGGAGTAAAAAAGAGTAAATAAGGCCATACGCAAACGAACCAGGTATCCACATGGCACAGGCCAAATGAGCCCACCGTCCATCCGTTGTAGGCTTCATTGCACCACCTAGAAGAAACTCAATTAAAATACTCAATGATGCCATGTGATTCAATTTTTAATGCAGCATAAATATTAGAAGGCCATAGCATACCTATGAGTGGACATAAACAGCAAGGTGGGGGGGGAGCACCCGAACGACATAAGTTGCACAACCATAGCACTCCATTAATAGGTTCCAGTTCTCCATAGCATCTAGCATGGACCTAAGAGAACATCACAATTCACAGCTCAATCTCAATAATGGGGTAAAATTGTAGAGCTTTAATGGTTCATTAAGCATTACCAGACAGATGTTAACCCATTATTTATGTTACATAATTTGCAATAATCCAGGGGAAAAAGATGCATAAAAATTTATGGGGTCATACCATCATTCTGCATTTGTCACACTGCAGAAACAGATTGTTCTCGTACTCCTTAAAACATAAATAACTCCCATTTAGCAAGCAAGACAGAATTAGATTATAAGCAAACAAAACAAGCAAGAAAGGTAACAATACAATATTTCCCTGGAACGAATTTGGGCAAAAGGAGAAAGGAGAAATAAGAAATAGAAAACGTTCTTCTTCAAAAAAAAAGAAATAGAAAACGCAACTAAAGAATATGCAGGTAGGTAAACAACAAGCAGGAGCTCTATAGGATTAAAGAAGGAAAAAAACCTCTACCTCATCCATGTGGCACACATTGCACTTATCGAGATCAAACCAATTAATATGAACCTGTCTATAACCAAGAGGCAAGTCATTATATCTTCTGGAATCAAAATTGCGAACTGAGTTCTTTGAAGAGACTTTGGATTTAGATAATCCCTGGAAATAACAAAACTTCTTTCAGAGAAAATAAAGCATCGGGTATATGAATTGAAAAGAATTTGTATTTAGCAAAATACTTGGTTAGTTCAACAAGCAGAAGATAGCATTAAAAAAAGAGAGAGATCATACATGAAGCAAAAAAAATATTTAATAGAATATGAAACTAAACAATGCTCAGTGTACAGCCAAGAACAAGCAAAGCAAATGTAAAGTATGGAGATAAGGGGAGCAGGTGAGTAGATTGACAATGACTATAAAAGTGACAACTTATTGGTACAACAACAACCAAGCCTTATCCCACTAGGTGGGTTCAGCAACATGGATAGATCGATGTCATTGAGCTATATCAAAAACCAAATTCTCTTTAGTTCACTAAGTATTCTATGGGATAAGTTACAATATTTCCTGGTTAATTCCATTTATTTCCGAAGTATTGACTTTATGTTTCAGGTCAGAACTAGGAATTAACTTATAACTAAATAGCATACCCGTATAAGTTTAGCGACTTTAGGATTGGAGAAACCAAACATATCAGACCCAGAATTGTAGCCCCTTTCTATCCCACCTTCAGCAACAGAACCTTCAGAAGCATCCTTTTCCAATTTCTTTATCCTTTTGTATACTTGATTCCAGCAATCAGATGGAGTATAACCATTGAACTGCAACAGAACATTTATAACAAGTTTGACACAAGTCATAGGAATGAGAGGTTCTTTTCTAATTTCTTTCGCAAGAAAAGGAGAAACACGAGCCAAAAAGCAAGGGAAGTTAGTTAAGGAATTTAACAATTTACAAACAAACACATAAATCCTGCTATTAAATAGGCACACTGTATCCACCATAGATCATAATATTTTTGTCATCAAAGATTTCAAAACAGAAAACTATAATTAAAAAAGAACAGGAAAAGAATCTGACATATGTCAGAGAAGGTTAAATGCAATATATTCATAGGGGACATTACCCAAAAAAAAGATACAGAAGCATAAATATCAGATGATTCAATATAAAATTATCAGAGAAACAAATGTCTACAGGTGCAAAGTCAAATATAATATGAACCAACCTGCTCACCACCATCAACTGTAACTCTTAATAGAGGTCGGACTTTGGATTCTGGATCTCTCAACACCTCCATCTTGTAAGGGGCAGATACTTTAGGATCTAAACAACCAAAAACGCAGAAAATAGAAGAAAACAAAAACAAAAGAATCAGAACCACTCGAATTAAGATATGCAAAGATGAATGGTATGACATATTTGACAATTTCTAAAACATTCAAAAAGATCAAACTAAAAAGGGTAGAGATATTTTGACTCCAGAGTAAGACTTATGAGTGTTACTCCTCATCTCAGCCATTGATTTCCGTCCATCCAACAGTTGTCATTTATTTGAAATTCATAGTAGATTAATTGATATAACTCAATAAACTATAACCGTTGGATGGACAGAAATCAACGGATAAAATAAGGAGTAACACTTAGAAGTCTTACTCTGAAGTCAAAATATCCCTCCCCAACTAAAAAATATGACATGCAAACATCCCAAACAAAATAATAATAATAAGAATAACAAATGCTTCACCAATAACTGAAGTAAACTTCCTCACTGCTGTGTATCCTTCAGGCCAGATGGATCTTCCATCCCCGAAAGACGTAGAATCTTCAACCATTTTTCCTGAAAAAAGAATTAAACAGTTTAACATCCCATTTGGCCATTTGGCTGTCACCAAATTGCCAATAAACGAGGAGAAACACAGTAACCAAGAGAAAGAGAGAGACAAGTAACATTCTTGCAGACATATAATTAAAAAAAAATGCAGTAAATCCACACAGTATTATTCAGCCATTGCATTTACTGTAAAAAGAAAATAAGATCCATTTTTGCTGAAAATGCAGTACACTGTAGTACTAGTTCGTTCCTAGATACAAAAGTGTGTGTGTGCGTGCGCTTAAATTTAATTCATTGTGAGTGTATAACTATAGTTATTACAGTTACTGTGCTAGTTCTGTATAACCTGCATTCGCAGCAGCTTGTAGCACCTTGCATTAGTTAGTGTGTTAGCTGTTATGAATTTGTTATGATCAGAGTTTCAAGGGACTTGCTATTTCCAAAATGCAAAAAGAGAATGACAAGCCACACTGCATTCTGAAGATTTTCTTGTTTGGGTATGCATAAGAGGAAAGCCAATGTTTGGTTTCAAAGAGACTCCTCACAACCATTCATTTTATCTACTATTATCCAAAATAATCAAGTTATTAATGATACAATGAAACCAAGAAAGACTTTCTAAAATCTCAATTTATCCTATGAGTGGAAGAATACAGAGTTGAAGTGAATAAAATAAAATACTGAAAGGTTATGTTTCGATGGTTCTCCCAGAAATCAATAAGGGAAATCAGTAAACAATAATATGATGCAAGCATCAATAAAATAAGATCCGACCAAGAAAAAAAAAAGATAATGTGAATAAATTCATGAAAACATAAAATACTAGTAATCTTGAAAAATTACCAAGGCTTAGAATTTTCAAATCTCCTACATCATAAGGAAAAGTTTCAACTTTTTCCAGTGCTGTCCAAATCCCTTTGTCATTTAAACAATCTTCACCTGAATCTGTACATCCGCTATCCTCTCCACTTACATTGTTACAGTCATCAGCTGTACATCTTTTCCGCAACTCTAGCATCTCCAAAGGAAGCTTCTGTTCACCTAAATACCTGTTTAAGTGAAATAATTGTAAAACCAACAAATTTGAATAATCATTTGAAAATTCTTCAATTCCAAGTATCAAAGCAGAGACCTTAAAATGCCACATTACAGAGAACAAAAGGCTAAGCCCGTTAAAATAAGCAGGCTAAGGCATATACATGGATAATACAGGTACGAATATAGGACACATAATGCCTTAAGAACTACCCTGAAAAACTAAAGCATGCACATAAAACATAATGCACTTGAATGAATTTTAAGACCATAAGTAATTAAAAACTGGAAAAATCTACCAAACTATTCAAATATTAGACAAGTTGGAAAACAAAGCCATTGTTAGGTAAATAGAAAGGAAAACTGGTTTACTCAAACTTGCTTCCTCAGATTAATACAGTTATTTATATTCCACAATGCAATTTTTTAATAATGGCCACTCTACCACAATAAGGACCTAAGAAAAACAACAAAAACCTGAAACAGCAAAACATGCAAATTAGAATTAACCTTGTCCAACAACATTGCAATAGCAACATATTCATGCTCCCAACTTTTGATGTTCTAGTTAACAAAAGTGAGAACATATGAAAAAAAAGGCATGATTAACAATACCTTTTTGCTTCTTCTAAAGCTTCAATAAAACTAGGTTTCTTGCACTTTGAGTGTAGATCAGTAAGAAGTCCGGTGAGAAATGATTTCACCTGTTGCAGTCTAACCCTAGAAGACAGGAAGAATATACAAAAGAAAAGTTAAGTTCATCTTAGAAACTGGATGAATCTACTGTATAAAGACAACAATCTCTCAATGAAAATTGAAAACAAATTTTTTCTTTATTTTAACAGAATATAAACCTTGCAAAGTCATGGGTGCCAAAAAATTGGACAGGAACTGATCTTCCTCCTAAAAACGTTTTCAAACCCTTACAGTTGCTAGCAAGTGATTCATCCAGAACAACAGCTGGCCACATTGCATGACCTGCAAAATAAACAAAATAATAAAAAGATACAATCACTATAGCAGTTACAAAATTAACAAGATCTAATCGTAACTGAAAATGCAAGGAATAAACAAACAAGGTAATTAAAAGTAGATAAAGTGTGATCTCCCTAAAATAGAATTTTTGAGGAAAGACACGAAAACAAAGAAGTAAATAACAATGGTAAGATTATTTATTTACTTTTGTTCTATGTTATTTCCCATTTTACATTAAGGAAGATCCCTTATCCTCCCAACTCTTTGTAATTATCTTCTCTGTCTCAATGAATTTCTCATTTAACAAAAAGCTTAAAATTTGAGTTTGCTGAAGTTAAATAAAGATAGATTGAACTAAAATTCAGAAAATTAGGACAAATCCATTCACATAAAGAGATACACATACAGCAATTTGCAAATGGAACAACCGAACAAGACTGAGCACAAACCTGTTAGCTTGGCCCATATGATATCCCCAGGCTCAAAGTCTTGACAATCATCCAAACTTGCAGCCAATGCAAGCATCTCTTCAACATCATAGTCAGATACATTACTGTCACGAACTTTGGCAAAATTTAATTTTAAACGTTTCATCTCATCACGGGAAACATGGTATTTTACATTTTCATTTGAAAGAATTAAATTTTCCTCATCACCATCATCATACTTGACCTGCATATATTTATTAATGAAAATTTGAAATCTCAAATAACAGTCCAATATTGTCCAGTACAGATAGATTATAGATGCACACGATTTTTGGTTTGAAGCTATTCAAATCATTTAAGTGATAATTTAGATAGGTAAGGGCCATACATGATGTATCTTAGTTTCCACATCATAACCTTTGACAACGCCTGTGTACGATCTTAAATCCATGGGCCAATAAACCTGCAGAAAACAAGGTTGACATTGATAAACTGTAGTTGTATGAACAAACTCAATAGAATGAATATACAACTATTAATAACCCAAAAGTTAAAACATTGCCTTGCATCGCAATCCAACAAATGCCTCCGGATCAGCATTATCAAAACTCAACCTGCAATAAGTGCAATTAACATTCAAGTAAGATTTTCTCCTCCCTGCCATACAGAAATCATAAACCCAAGAAAACAAATATCACAGAGCTAAACATTTCCCATTTCGCTACACATTTAAGCAAAGTCCAACACCATGGAGCTTTCGTTTCTTCAGTCTAATCTAAACAAACACTACATGTCCGAAAACCCACAAAAAATAAAAGCAGGTAGACAGAATTTTCCATTTCCACAAGTGAGATTTTATCTTCAGAAACTACAAGTGACATTTAACATTCACGTAAGATTTTCTCCTTCCAACCACACAGAAATCATAAAACCAAAAAATAAAAATCACAGAGCTAAACATTTAAGCAAAGTTCAACTTCACGAAGTTTCTGTTTCTTGAGTCCAAACAAATAACACTTCAGAAAAACCCACAAAAATTAAAGCAGGCCAATGAATTTTCCATTTTCCACAAAGAGAGCAAAAAGCGAATTACCCGACCCATCTCTTCACAGTGCGAGATTCAGGCAGCAACTTTGGGAAATTCTCCAATGAACCACACTTGGCGTTCCCAGCAATGCCAGAATTCCCAAATTGGTTGCGGCATTCCCTCAATCGAGGCCCATCGAGATTCCCCAAGGCGCTCAAATCCACACCCAATTTCCCCAACTCAGTGCTCCCAGTTTTCCTCTTCTTCAGCAACCTCCTCTCGGAATCCCCATTCTCCTCCTCCGGGTCCTTCACCCCCGAACCGGACTCGACCCGACCCAGCACGGAATCATAAAACGACGCCCTCCCGGAGGAATGCCTCTTGCGGCGGCGAGAGTAGACGTAGAGAAGAGGGGGTTTCGGAAGCAGCAAAAACGGCGTCGCTTTCTTGTTGTTGCGATGATCGAGTTGCGGTGGATCGTTATCGTTATCGTTATCGTTATCGCTATCATTATCATTCCCATTATTATCATTATCATTGAAATGGTTGTTATGGTTGTTAAGGTTGAGCTTACGAGCCTTGACCTTCTTGGACATGACGTTGGATGAGCCACTGGCGGTGACGCGGCAAGGTGACGTGGCGGAGTAGAGGTGATCGAGCGGGAGGTACCGAATGGGTGTACCACGGGTTGTGTGAACGTCGACGTTGGTGTCTTCTTCGGCACCTTCTTGGGGTTGAGGAAGGAATGCCATGTATGAAGAAGAAAGAAAGAGAGAGAAAGAGAGAAAAAATCGAGAATGTTAGGGTTTTTGTAAGAGAGAGAAAAAAATTAGAAACGATTATGTGTGTGTGTGTGTGTGTGAGTAAGTGTGCGATTTGGTTTGTTTTTGGAGGGAGGGGTTATTCACCAAATAAATCTGTTTCCCGCCGTGAGACTCATCCACACTCTCGTTGTTGTTCAAAGTGAAAGCAAGCAGATGCTGCTGTTTAAGTTCAACCACAAATAAGACCTTTGCAATTGCAACAATGAATCAAAATTATAGAATGATGAAATATGAACGTGAGAGATATTATTTAGGAGTTAGGACCATGAGTGTGACATCATCATCTTCACACACACACACACAGCAAAACCCAAACCCACACCTCCTACTAGTTTGGTACCATCTTTGGTTTTTTATTGATATGAAATGAAATCTTATAATTAATAGAAAGAAAGAAAAATGTAATTTTTTACATTTGCCATTAGGCAAATTTGACAAAATAATTAAATAAGTTTCACTTTATTTAATAATTATTAAGGGTGAGATTCGCTTTAGATTTTTTTTTTATCAAAACTCAGTTTAACTATTATTAATTTACTTCAACACTTTTATATTAAATGCGGTGGTTTTATTGTTAAGTTTTTTAAAATAATATCTAAATTTGATTTTGAGGATATAGTATCATATTTTTTTTTTTTGAGTTACCCAACTCTAATTACCTCTTGGAGTCGAGTTGGCTCCCTCCGATATCCCCACGAGCTTCGACTCTTTGAGCCGGCTATGGGACTAATCCGGAGTGCGGGGGATCAGTGATGGCTAAAGGTTCAGCCCCCTCCCCAAGAATGCATTCAACAGGAATCGAACACATTGTTCAACCCCACTAACTCAGCGCCAAGTTACCAATTGAGTTGCACCCCGAGGGATTATATCTTATTCTAAACAAATGAAAGAGAACAAAATAAATAACACGTATAAAACTAAGGGAAAAAAGTGTGTCGTTTTAAATGACACACCTTATATCATTTTATTTTCACAAAAAGGTGGAATCTACATTTTTAAAAAAAAAATCACTCATTCTCTTTCTTGTGATTTATCTCTTTCTCTCACTTAAAATGATACAACTTTGTGTCTTTTCAAAATGATATACATTTTTTCTCTTTTTTTTTTTGAAGTTACCCAACCCTAATTATCTCTTTGAGACGAGTTGGCTCCCTCCGGTATCCCCACGAGCTTCGACTTTTTGAACCGGCTATGAGACTAATCCGAAGTGTGGAAAAACAGTGATGACTAAAGGTTCAGCCCCCTCCTCAAAAATGCTGGAATCGTACATTTTTTTTCTCTAATACTAAAAGAAACAACTAACAACATCATCTTCATTCCCGTAAATTAGGGATATAAGATAATAACGGAAATATTTACAATTGATAGATTTTATTTTTTAACCAATCAATATAATTTGATTGATGTGTACCTCACAGTTACATCATTAATAGGTCTATTTTAGGAAGGAATCAAAATTTGATTGATCAACACTGGGAATAAATTATATCATTAGATTTTTTTTATGATTCTTCAATGCACGTCATGGAAAATTAGAATAGAATTTTCTAATGTATAGTTATTTCGAAATAAATTTGTTTCTCACGGTGCAAAGACATTATTTCAAGAAATGTATTGAAAAAAATTCAAAGCCTATCAACAGGGATAAGCCACTAAGAGTGTGGTGAAGGAATTGAATAATTTATAAGAGATTCTAAATTAAAATCGGAGTGTCACTGTTATTAAAAAAAAAACAGATACGAAACTAAAAGCCGTGTCTGATTTTGGTTGGGCATGACTTGTGTAGTACTACAGAAAAGGAATAAAAAGTAATTCAACCAAATATAGGATTTACGAAGGAGATGGGCAGTGCCGACGGGTGGTGGTCCCTAGATTCGGCAAGAGTAAACTCCAAACCCATGTCGGTATTTGGCAATGATGAGCATATATCATATATGAGGCATAATAACTTTAAACATCATTGAGGATGACATCCACCCTCAATCATCACAAGCACGTGAGATAGATACATGGGAGCATTTGGTAGAAAAAAAAAAATTATCTTAAAAACTCAATTACTAAGAATATAGTGAAAAAGTGAGTTTAATAGAAAAGTTTAAAAAAAAAATTGGTAGGCTTAACTATTATCGAGAAAAATTGGTTGAATGTAAAATATTACTTGAAAAATTGGATGAATTTATGAAAATATGTTGAACTCTCTCTCCAGATTTCTTTTGGCACGTTAAGTCAAGGGATATTTGTAACTTAAATTGAGAAATGCTACTTTGTTTGCTGAGATAATGAGGTGGTATTCTCAAATGGTCAAAATTTGTCAATATTACTCATAATAATAAATTGCTATGCAAATGAGATTGATAAGAAAATTATTTAAAGTATTCTACTAAACGTTGTATTCTTGTATATCCACCCTCACTTTTCCACTCATCTTAAAAGAAATCTCTTGCCAAACACATCTACTACGAGCAAATATGTAGTGTTTCTGAACCAATGTACTCTCTACTCCCATACAGAGAGAGAGAGAGGGAGGAGAAAATAGAGAGAGGAATAAGGAGGAGAGAGGGGAGTATCACTGAATTTATTTTCCCCTAGATTCTTATGGATGGCCAATTTGAGAGAAAAGGACAAAAAAACATGCTCGTGTATTTTAATAAAAAAAATTCAAAAATTCATCCTCTAACTAATTTTTATTTTAAATTAATCCTTTTAACTTATTAAATGTTAATGTCATCTTCATCTTAGATAGCAAAGGTTCACATACGTGGCATCTAACTTATACACAAGTGTTATATGACATGGTAAATGCCTGTTGGCAAGATGGTCCCCAAGTTCACATAGGCGAAATCCCGATTCATATGTAGTTTAAAATAATTCTTATGAATGAAATGTGCATTTGATTCTAATGGTTAGTTTGTAGACTCCAGGTTACCCATTTTGGCTTGGGAACCATGATAAGCATATGTGAGATATAAATTCAACCACCATTATATATGTCATTTTTAAGAACACTCAATCGTGATAAACTAAAGAGAGTTTATCTGTAACTGGGTGTATAAATACTTTGGTAGGTACCTCTTATGGCCAGTTGTCTTGGTTGGTCGCCTATTGGTTCCCAAAAAACCAAACCACAACTTAACCGAAATAAATAACCAAATCATTTATCTTGAGTTTATAAATAACTGAATCATTTGAAATAGGTTCAGTAATTAACCTAAACCCTTCGGTTAACCACTAGTTTTTAATTTCTTCTTCTCCGTCGAGTTTATACTTCAACCAAAACGATGTGGTGATTGGAGATACCATCCAAGCATGCGTTTAGGGTATGTTTAGTACAAGATAAATTTTTTGGTAACCGTCAATCACGATTACTGAGAATACAATAGAAATTGAGTTTACTCGTAATGTCACGAAAAAGATGTTTGGTTTGCCAAAATATTACTTGGAATATTAGATAAAGATTACTGATTTCATGTTTGGTTTTGAACGAAATATAATTTGAAAATGAGGTTACTTTGCAAAAATATAATCCCAGACTATTTTTATTTTTGTAATTGATAGATTGCATGGGTCTAGGTTTTGATGTGTGTTGGGATATTTTTTCTCAAAAATTGTTGTGTTTTTTCCTTTACTTGAAATTTTGAATATTGAAAAAAAAATTGTAATTTCCAAAAAAAAATAAAAATTGAATTACTATATTATTTTTTGGTAATCTGAACAGTGACTTTTCTTTATAAATCAAATTACCGGTAAGCTTTGGATATTCAAGAACTGATTTTTGTTACTTCTACCAAACATGGTAATTGACGTTTACCAAATAAGATTTACCAGTAATCTTTTTTATACCCTTGTACCAAACACACCCTTAGTCTTATTACAAGCTTTTTTGAAATAATTTGGTAGACATGAATCACATGATAGAATAAGGATGGATACGATAAGATGGATAAGAGTAAAAAAAGATATTAGTTTGATAAATTCATATTTTATCCTATGTTTAATGTGCATTAAAGAAGTAGAAGTAGTTTGACATGGTAATCTTAATTCATCTTAAACGGACCATATGATAGTTATGATAAGATATAAATAGACAAAAATATCAATTTTAAAATAATTTCACATTGTTTTTTAAATTGATTTTTAAACTTCTTAATTTATTTACATTTTAGTTCTTATTTCAAATGATTAAAAAATTTAGAAGTCATCATTGTTAACAAAATATATGAAAGTACATAGGTAACTTATGTTTTTTTTTAAATAATTATTGGATTTCATTGGTGGTGCTGGCAGCGTCAATGTAGGGGTGGCCGGTTAAAGCCGTTGTGGAGGCTGATGGTGAGGGTGTCAGTGACGACCATTGGTAATTGTAATGTGGCGGTGGCCAATGGTGACTGTGACGATGCTAGTGGTTGGTTGGCGATTATAGCAAGTGAAAGTGGTGGTGGTAGCAGCAGCATCAGTGACAATTATGAGGGCTAACCGATGATGTTGATGTTTGGTGCCTGGTGGTTAAGGGTGGCGGTAGCCGATGATGGTTGGTAGCTCACGATGATATTTGGTGGCAACAGTGAATGTTAGAGGTAGCCAATGATAATGACTGATACTCACGTGTCTAGCAAAGTTCATAGGAATATAGCATAAAATAATGGATTAGTGAAGGATGTGTAATATGCCTCCAGCATATAATGTTATAAGGCTTAAAAGAGCAACGATTTAATCTAATTGAAGTAAAAAGAGCTTATATTAATAATAAAATTGATAAATCATGCTCAAACCATGCTTATGGAGCCAGAGCATATTTAAGTTATTGTTTCATTGCGCCTTTAGCGCGAATACCACGCTAAAGGCGCTGGCACAACACAATCCATCTGCGCCACTAGCGTGGACGTCACGCTAACAGCGCCAGAGCTTAAATTCAATATTGTTTCACGGCGTCTCTAGCGCGAAAATGGCGCCACTGGTGCCAAAAGCACGTTACTGCTTTTAAATGAAAATCAAATTGTATCTAAAAAGGGATTGTACACCAAAGATTTGATGGAGATTTGTACATATTTATAATTAAGTATAAAAAGAGAATGTAAACCGTTATTGAGGGTCTTTTGGCTGGAGACTTTTGGAAAGATCAAGAAATTGAGAGAATTCGTGGAGGCTTATGCTGAAGATCAGGA